GAGATAGAGGGGAGAGAAAAGGTTAAGTATTTGTATGAATTAATATATTTTTATCTTCAATGACTTTTGTCCATGCAAGTAAATTCTGGTCATGGCAGAAAAAAAAAAAAAAAAGATAGTGAATTTTGGTCAGAAAAATGAAAATTTTCAAATATTTTTATTTTAGGGGCTTTTTTGTTCATGTAGAAAATTACGAAAGTTATCTAGGTAAATTCTGATGAATAATTGAAAATTTTTAAATATTTTTTAATTTAAGGTATTTTTATCCTTATAAAAATTATAAATGTTAACTCATGAAATCTTACACATTTCCCAACTAAAGTATGGGATTTTTTTTTTTGTCCAATTTATCGGGCCCCGAACAACATTACACTTTCATATGTTTTTTCAATCTAATCTTATTTAGTCTTATTAATTTTATTTTATTCAATCTTATCCACATGACAAACGTACTTTTATAAGGGCACTTGACCCTTCGAGTCACTTTGGAAGTGCAGTCCTCTTCTTTCTGGTGGGTTCTAGTTTCGAATCCCACCTTTATCACTTTGTTCAAAAAAAAAAAAACCGTACCTTTACAAGGAAAAGTGGAGATAAAAGGGAGAGAAAAGGTTAATTCTTTGTGTGAATTAATATATTTTTATCTTCAATGATTTTTATCCATGCAAGTAAATTTTGGTAATGGCAGAAAAAAGAAAAAAAAAAAAGATAGTGAATTTTGGTCAGAAAAATGAAAATTTTCAAATGGTTTGATTTTAGGGGCTTTTTTGTTCATGTAGAAAATTACGAAAGTTACTCAGGTAAATTCTGGTGAATAATTGAAATTTTTTTTAATATTTTTTAATTTGAGGTATTTTTATCCATATAAAAAATTATAAATGTTATCTTGTGAAATTTTACACCTTTCCCAGCTATGGGGTAATTTTTTTTTACGCAATTCATCGAGCCCCGAACAACATTACACATTCATTATTGTTTTCAATCTAATCTTATACAATCTTTATGCAGCATTAGGTGGTTTAGTAACCATT